TTACTGTCTCGATATGATGCGCTGGTGGAGAAATAGAGTGTGGTTTAAAGACATTTGACAATTCTACGGCGAGGGTATCTGTTTTATCCTGATCTGTTATAGCTAGTGTATTGTCATTACGCCGGAGGGGCGGTGTTGATTCTTTCATTCGAAGAATCCATTTTGTTTTTCTCCATAACGATCCGTTCCTTACTGAAAGATTTTAAAGGTATGTTTTATAAGAATTATTTTTGTGAATCTTGAGTAATAATTTGAGTTTATTGATTAAAAAATTGTATAGTTTTTTGTCATCTGGATAACGCGTATGTTGCCATCTTGATCTAGCTCTACGTTTCTCAGCTAATAGTTGTTTTAACTCAGGGGTGAAGTTTAATGTTGGTTTTTTATAAGAGAAGGGGGATGAAGACTCTTTTGCTGCTTCTTGTATGTTCATGGTAAGTTTGTTCATTTCATTATCTAAATCCATAGTAGTTTTTAGTTTAATATTTAATGCAGTTTTTTTTTGAAAGTATGGTCCTAAATTTGCACCAATTCATTTTACCTTGAGTGATTGTTGGCCTGCTATGTTTTAGGCTCGGCTGTCCTCCAATATGTAATAGAGCTGGTGTTTGATCACAAGATGGATCATTTAGATTAATAATTTCAGTTACGAAGCGATTGGGAATATGAGAAACGAAAAAATCGATAGTATCAGGATGATGATTAACATGAGAAGGCCAATAAGTTAGCGAGTCTGTTACAATTGCTTTGTAATTTTTTAGTGTGATTAAATTATGGAGGAAACGACCCCTAGTATTATTGGATCGACTCCAAGTATGGTGCTTGGCATTAAAATCTGCTCCTATTATAAAATTGTGGTTAAGAGATTGTAATTGAAGTGTCAGCTCAAAGGTAGGAAATGGTCGTCAAGGTGGAAAATAACAAGCAGATATAGAAATGGGTACTGAATCTATTGTAATTGTTGAACTTGCTGCCTGCAAATTTGTACTTCGGTAGGGTACATGAGGTGTGTGCCCAATATTGTTAGATATTAAGACTGCAGCTCCACCATGTGCTGTGCCATCAGGGTGATCAGCTCTGATAATTTTATAACCAAATATTTTGAATGATGATTTTTCAGAAAGATGAGTTTCATATACTAATGTAATTGATATATTTTTTTCATAAACAGCAGCTGTCAACTCATTTAAGTGTTGTAGAACACCATTTGCATTCCACAAGAATATTGATAGTGTTTTTTTACTACTAATTGACATTTTTAAGAAGTTTATCAATGACTGTTGTAAGAAAAGATACAAGAGAGTTAATTAGTGCTTTTAGGTTATTTATAAATGTTGTTAGTTAAGCTGTTAGATCATGGTTATAGTCAGTATTTTTATTTTAAGTTTGAGAGTCTTTATTTAAAGTAGGAAAGTTTTGAGATGATGGGGAGAAAGGTTGGTTTGAAGTGGGCGATTATTGTTCCATGGGTTTTTTTGTGATTTGGTTAAATATTTTTTCATGTCTAGATGGATTTGACAGCCTTTATAATTTGCCGGATGATCACCATTACACAATGCACATTTGCAGGAGAAGTGCGACTTTTGGTACAATCAGTTGTATCATGCTGCTCACCGCACCGAACACATCGTGGTATGTGGTTACAATAGCTACGTGTGTGACCATAAGCCTGACATCGGTGACACTGCGGAATTTCTTTTTTTGGATGAGGGGGTTGAATTTTGATTTTAGTGTGGCACAATGAGGTTATTTTATATATATCAGTAATTGAAGGATTGGGCTCAATGTCAACAAAAAAATTGGTAAAGGCGTTTTAGTTTGTCTGTGAAGTACGGGCATAATATTTCTGACAGTAAATCCCTTAGTAGAAAGT